ATGTAACAGGAGGTTCACGTCTATGAATTCTATGAAAAATTAAATCACCATTCCTTACAAAAGTTTCTAAATCTGCAATTTTATCAATTAATTTAACTTCACCATTTGATATAGCTTTTGCATAATAATGAGGTTCACGATCTCTAAATTCATTTGAAAAAATATCAAACAATGTACGATCTCTCCATCTCATTTTACAATATGTTAGATAAGTATAATAAAAAGGTTCTATTTTCCTTAAAAGTCCTTGAATTGAATATGAAACATTTGAATCTTGCATTGTTTCATTTGATTGATGTTGTCTTTTAGCTTTGAATCCAGATTCTGAAACCAATTTCTGGAGTTTTTGCTTGCGTGGAGGACTTGGACTTGGACTTGTTGACATTTTCCTAATTAGATTCATTCAATTCTCCCATAGATTTTTGAATATATGAGTCCTTTTAATCTTGATGGTGTTGTTCAAGTGTAAAGTTTGATGTTTTCGGTGTCTTTATTTTTTTTTCAGTATAAAAGATATTCGGTAAGGACAGCATTAGTGCTTTAGAAAATAATAAAGATTTAGCTTTTGACACAAAAACACAAGATATCAGTTTTGCGCTTTGACAATTCAACATTCTTTGAGGGTCGGTGTTGCTAAGGTCAATTTCAAGTCATAAACATCACTGTTTTGATTCAAAACCACAAGATCTTATCAGTTTTGAGCCATGGTCAGGTTCAAGCCATCCCCATCACTTTTAAATACTCTTCTAGGCATTCCAAGTAGGAAGTCTCTTTTTGATATTGCACCAGAAATATCACAGGTCATCAAAACTTATAAAAAGCACAAACCGAGATCAATTATAAACAAAGATGAATTGTTATCAATGAAAGCTTTTGTGGAAACTTTCTATTATAATACCGAAAGACAAGAAGAATATCCCCATAATATTAAATCATCAAGATATAGAGATCTTGAAGGGTTCAAAATGCTTTTAAGTACAACTTCACCTACAATTGATCCCGCAACAGACATCGAGTTCATACACGAACTCTTAGATGATCTTATCGGTTCAGAGAAGGTCAATTACCTTCTGAAGAATAAAGATTCTGGAATTCAAAAACTTTTAAATCCATCAAGCAAAGCATCAGTTAAGAATAAACACTTGAAGTCAATTATAATAAAAGATGCAAATGAGATTGACGATAAAACTATTTTCAAAACGTGTGACAAGGAGTTGGAAAAGCTTTGGAATAATTTTCAATCAATTGATGATTCAAAAAGAAAATTTGAAAAATTGAATTTACTTTTCGATAAATATCACCGTGAGCTACAAAACCAAAATTTCCTTTTGCTGGATTGGGAAGATATAAAAGAGAATATAAGAAATGATATTACAGATATTAAAGCACAAAATTTGGAAAATATGAATTTAAAGCTGTCCCCCAATCTAAAAACTATTTCAAATTTAGTTTACAAGAAGATCTTTAAGTCAAAAGAATACAATATTGAGAATCATTTAACAAAGATTTATGAGTTTGTTGCAAAAATACACAATTTTGATAATCATTATAAAAAGAAACCAGATGAAATAGAAATTGAAACTCAAGTGAACCATATTATAACAAATAAGTCAAAAGGCTCAATTACCAAGAATATAAAAGTTTTAGATATAATTCTTTACAGTGTTAAAACTTTTAGTTCCCTTATAGTAGAGGTAAAACGCAATCAAAACCTTGGAGAAGATATGAAAAAAATAGTAAATAATTTGCAAGAAATTGAATATCAAGTAAAGAATGAAAAAAAAACAGAATAAAAGAGGTAGGTTGTCCAAGGAAGAAACAAGAATCTATAATAAGTACAAATCTACTAGAGAACTAATGGGGTTTATGAATCAACTAACTGGGTACATGATTAGACAAAAGACGCTGTACGGGATGATCACCAATCTCAGAGAAAGCATCTTTTTTAGAATAGATTGTGAAAATAGTGAAGTCATTAAACGAACTATTGAAAATCAAGAACTTGAATTTATGGGCATTAGTATCTCTTATAAGATCATCAAAAACACCGACAGAGATTTAACATTGAAAATGTTCATATTTTATGCGGTGACCAAGTTCAAAGAGGGAAACAAAGATTGCATTTTAACCGATGAATTTATCAAAAAAATGCAGATTTAAGAGACGTAAGTGCTGGTTTCAAATACACAGAAGAATATCAAATATTTAATGTCCAATGATTTTAGATTGAAACTACAGGAGGATGATTTGAGGGATTCAAATTATCTAGCTTATGAAAACTTTAAAATTGCTGGATATAATCGGTCATATATAAAGGAATGTTAAAAAAATTGTAACTATAAGTTGTAGACGTATTCGAATATAGTAACTACTGATCTAAAATAATTTGAATATCAATATAATATGTATTATTTGTTGTTATAAATACCAAAAAGCAAAAAAAAGGGAAGCTTCTTTAAATCACCAGGATGTTAAAGAAACTCCTTAATATCAAAAAAATAAATATAAGATCATTCAATCAACTTGAACAACTACATTGAGTCATTGTTTCACCTTCATCATCTAACCAATGATTTTCTAAATCTTTTAATTCATCCCCCCATTTCAAAGGATCATAAGGATTTGATGACATTTTTAATAATTTTTGTAATTTAGAAATATCTTCATTATCATCATACATTGATTCAATAACTTCTTCTAATTGCCAATTTCTCGGTGTAAATAATGGATTTACTTTTGATGCAATTGAATAACGTTCTTTATGAGTTGTTGAACCTAATCTTTTTTTATAATTTTCAATGAATTCACTTAATAATGAATTTAATTCATCATTTAATTCTTGATCAATTTTATCCTTTGGATTTGATAAACGGTTTTGTAATTCTGGAGTTAAATAAATCGAAGTATCATTTAAATCTGTTGAATTTTGTAAATTTATGAAAAATTTATTAAAATCAACTTTTGTTTTGGAAATTAAATCTAATAATTGAGCAATTAAATCATTATCACCTTGTTCCACAGTTTTTAATCCAATTCTTTGAGTCATTATTGAATTATAATTCTCCATGAAAACATGTTTATATTCAACACTTGCCAATTGAATAATTGAACTAACTCTTTTAATTGTTTGTTCTTCTTGTTGTTTTTTAATACCTTTTTCAATGAAAAATTCATCATCAACTAAATCAGGTCCAGCACCTAGTAATTCTACTAAAGATTCACCTAATCTTGTTAAATTCCACCAAATTATTGAAGGTTGATTTGCAAAACTATAACGTAATTGAACATCATCATGATTTGGAGTAAAATTTGGATTAAATTTATCCATAAAACTAAAAGGACCAAAATCAATTGATAAACCTAAAATTGATGTATTATCAGTATTTAAAACCCCATTTAAAAACCCATAAGATTGCCAATATGCAACTAATTTGGCATTTAATCTAACAATGGCTCTATACATTTGATCATAACGAGTTGAATCTGTAATTTCAATTAATCCTTCAAGATCTTCTTCATCACTACCTTCAGTTATATCTTTATATTGATCTTTAACAAATTCACCTTTTTGGAAAACAGGTAATTCATCCAAGATATCTTCAATGATATAATCACATAATTCTCTAAGACCTTGACGATCTTGTCTCCATCTATATAAATCAAAAGTACCAATTCTTATCCAACTTTTAGCAAATCTTGATACAACAGCACAAACTTCAGCACGTTCTCTTTGAGCTTTAGTTTTAGGTAAAAGTGAAATACTTAGGGCTCTTGTACTTGGTATACCAATTCCTGATAATGATTCACTTATAATAAATTCACGAATACTTGATCTTAAAACAGCTTTACCATCTGCAAATCTTGAAAATGCAGTTTTACCAGAACCTTTCAATTGTAATTCCTGGTTCCCCTGGTTTGGTGTGATTAATGTGAATAAATTTGTAACTCTACCATCACCTAATTGACCAGCAAATTGACCAAATTGGAATCCAGCATAAGCTTGAGCATATGGCCAAATTTTATCATCATAATGAAATTTTTCACCAGAGACTATTGATTTATAATATGAATCTTCAGGGGAATCTTGAGGTAATGATAAGAATTCTAATGCATTTGGTGAAGATAATAAATGCTTATATTCAGGTCTTGATTCAGGTCTTGTGAATTGATAAGCACCTGATTTTAGAGTACGTGGTTTATTAAATAATTTTTCAGTTTCTTGTTGATTTGATGATTGATGTAAATTTAAAGCTTCTTTTATAGATGGAATTAAAGGATCTGGTTTTAACTTGAGGAATTGTGAAGTCTTTGGGTATTGAGATAATGGGATCTTGGTCATTTCTTCCATTAGAATGATATTGTCATGTGGATAATTGGAATGTGAATTGAGTCTATGGAAAGGGTTTAAAAGGGTATAAAAGATTATAATTTATTGTGATTACATAATATCTGACGTAATCTCAGTTGCTAAACAAAACTTTATTTTAAACAATACAAAACTACTTTGAGGTTTTAGATCTCTTAGTGGAAAGTATTTTATTGTTTAGTGCTTTATTCTTCCTCTCTGTGCTTTCAATTGTTTCTGTGTTTTGTGTCGTTGTATTGTTGTGGCTCAGGGGTTTATTGGAGATCAAGGCACTACTGAAATGGAATGAAATACACTGAAACACGGGCCATAAAGCGTAATTTAAAGCCATAGAGCACATGTTGAACAGTTGAGAATTGGTCATGAAATAGGTGATTCAATTGAACTAAATAGCTATTATTTACGTCCCCGTTTCATGTGTACTTTATCCAATTTAAAACCTGTGGAATGTTGTAACTTGTCACATTCTTTTCTACTCGCTTCGAGGCATTTCAAATTCCCAGCGATGAGCTGAAAAAGAATACATTAGGGAAAATTCCATACATTGTCTCACAGGAGAGCAATTGAGTCCTGGGAAACGATGAGAATAGTTCAATTGATGTTGTAGAATTCAATGGTGTTATTTATTAGCTCATACGATTTGTAGATGTTGAGTTATTAAACCACTCATATCTATCGGGTATTTAGCATGGCCCACAATTGGTGACTAAATTTATGTGAATACGTGTAATTATGCAATTATTTCTAATAAATCAACAACAAATTTCAGTTGAGAAACTTAGATCGATTCAAATTTCAAATCAGGGGTAAATTTTAGATTTCTATATAAACAATCAGGTGTCTCTTCAATTTCTTTTATTCTTCCATTTACTTTTCTTTATCCAAGTCAATTACAAAGACAGATACACACACAACTACTAAAACTACACAACTATTCATAATGGGTTTATTCGATAAAGTTAAAAACGCTGTTGGTAACAACGATGGTGGTGACAATGATTACGTCAAAAAAGCTGAAGGTTTTGTCGGTGAAGATAGAGTTAACCAATTCAAAGATAAAGTTGGTTCAGATAACTATGAAAAAGGTACTGATGCTATTAGAAACAAATTATCAGGTACTTCATTAAATGATGATGATGATGACAAGAAAAAGAATAAGAACTCTTCATCAAACAGAGATGATGATGATAACAAGAAATCTTCATATGGCTCTTCTTCTTCAAACAGAAATGATAATGATTCATATGGTTCTTCATCAAACAAAAACTCTAGCTCTTCATACGGTTCTTCATCAAACAGAGATGACGATGACAACAAATACGGTTCTTCATCAAACAAAAACTCATCATCTTCATATGGTTCATCCTCAAACAAAGATGATGATAAATATGGTTCATCATCAAACAAAAACTCATCTTCATACGGTTCATCAGGTAATGATTCATATGGTTCATCAAACAAGAACTCTTCATCATATGGTTCTTCATCAAATAGAGATGATGAAGATGATAACAAATATAGTTCTTCATCAAACAAGAACTCTTCAAGCTCATACGGTTCATCAAACAAAGACAAAGATGACAACAAATCCTCATCATACGGTTCATCATCATATGGTTCTTCAAACAAAGATAAAGATGATAACAAATCCTCATCATATGGTTCTTCATCATATGGTTCTTCAAACAAAGATAAAGATGATGATAAATATGGTTCATCATCAAACAAAAACTCATCATCATCATATGGTTCATCTTCTAACAGAGATGATGATAAATATGGCTCATCATCTAACAAGAACTCTAGCTCTTACGGTTCATCAAACAATGATTCATATGGTTCTTCATCAAACAAGAATGATAATGATTCATATGGTTCTTCAAACAAAAACTCAAGCTCATATGGTTCATCATCAAACAATGATTCATACGGATCATCAGACAAAAACTCTAGCTCATATGGTTCTTCAGGTAATGACTCTTATGGATCATCAAACAAAAACTCTTCATCATATGGTTCTTCAGGTAATGACTCTTATGGCTCTTCAAACAAAAACTCATCATCATACGGTTCATCAAACAATGACTCTTACGGCTCATCAAACAATGACTCTTATGGATCATCAAACAAAAACTCATCATATGGTTCAGGTTCCGGTTCAGGTTCAGGTTCAGGTTCTTATGGTTCTTCAAACAATGATTCATATGGTTCTTCAAGAAATAACAATGATTCATATGGTTCTTCAAACAATGATTCTTATGGTTCATCAAGAAATGATAGATATTAAACTTGATTTCTATGATTTCCAATTATTCAATTTGAAATTGAAAATTTTTTTATGATTTAGTATGATTTTAGTATTTTAGTTTTTACTTATTTTGGTATAACCTTTTTTTTTTAATTGTATATGATGGATTAGATTACTTCCTTGATGGATATGAAATATGATTTTTCAAACATTTTAATAACAAAAATTGTAGTGCTTGTTTCAACTAATTAAATTCGAATAAAAGTTGTGGAAATTTGGAAATCTGGTTATTATGTTTCTGCCCATAACAATTTCCGCGAATACTGTCTGTTCAATGATGTTATAAAGATCACCGATTAAACCCAGTAAACAAGTACAAGAGGAGAAGAGATCTTTGGTATAAAAGCCATTTAATTCTCCTTTTAATGGTTTCCAATGATCTGATTTAATGATACTACCATTTCTGTGAAAAGAGATCATTTAATCAATTGATACATTATGAGTGCTACAGGTTCTTCAAACAAGGGAGATAACAAACCTTCATCTTATGGTTCATCAAACGAGAACTCTAACTCATATGGTTCTTATGATAATGATTCATACTCAACATATGCTTCAGGATCAAACAATAATGATGATTCTTCACACAAAAATGAAACATATGGTTCACATAATGATCCTTTTTCAAAAAACGATGATGATAGAAGATCAAATAACGATTCATATGGTTCTTATGGTTCAGGTTCATATGATTCTTCAAACAGCAATGAATATGGATATGATACTTCAAAAAATGATGAATATGGTGTAGGCTCATATGGATCATCAAACAATAATGAATATGCATCAAGATATGACAATAATAATGATTCATATGGTGGGGATACACCAGATGGTGCCATCCATAATAAACTAAAATCCTATGATATTTAATTGTTTAAGAAGATCTTTATCTAAATTAAATGTTATAATTTGATGTTATTATTAAGATTTGAAGTTTGAGATCAAGATTTCTCATGATTTTATATTATTTAGTTTTTTACTTTTACTTTTGCCCTTTTGGTTTACTTTTTTTTTCAAATTGTATACAATGGATCAGAATACACTCCTTGATGGATATAACACATTTTAATTACCAAAATTGTAGTTTAATTAGCTATTTTCAAATGATATCTTGTAAAATTTGGTTATTATATTACTGCCCTTAACAATTCTGAGCACCAAAAATTTCGCGAATTCTGCCAGCCATTTTCTGGTTCAATTTTTTGTGTTTTCAAGTTGTTGATAAGCATTTGAAATATTAAGAGATACGTACTAGAAGCTTTTAGATCTTTTAAAGGTTAATATTGAGACATTATGAGTGCTGCTGGGAAGAAGAAACTACTACTTATGGTGAGTTATGGTTATTGTTTTCATTTCAGAGAAATTGTTACTAACAAATTTGTTATATTAGGGCCGTTCAGGTTCAGGTAAATCATCAATGAGATCTATTATTTTCAGTAATTATAGTGCATTTGATACACGTCGTCTTGGTGCTACTATAGATGTTGAACATTCACATCTTAGGTTCTTGGGTAATATGAGTTTAAATCTTTGGGATTGTGGTGGTCAAGATGTATTTATGGATAATTATTTTACAAATCAAAAAGATCATATATTTAAAATGGTTGAAGTTTTAATTCATGTTTTTGATGTTGAAAGTAAAGAAGTTGGTAAAGATATTGAAGTTTTCGTTAAATCATTAAAACAATTAAAACAATTTAGTCCCAATGCTAAAATATTTGTACTTTTACATAAGATGGATTTAGTTCAAATTGATCGTCGTGAAGAATTATTTGGTATAATGATGAATAGATTAAATGAAACTTCACAAGTTTATGGGTTTAATGTTACAGGATTTGCAACAAGTATTTGGGATGAAAGTTTATATAAAGCTTGGAGTTCAATAGTTTGTTCATTAATTCCAAATATGAATCAATATGAAACAAATTTATCAAATCTACAAAATATATTGGAAGCTCAAGAAATTATATTATTTGAAAAAACTACATTTTTAGTTATATGTTCATCAAATAGTGGTAATTTATTAACAAATGACAACAATAATAATGAAAATTTTGAAAAATTAGATCCAAAAAGATTTGAAAAAATTTCAAATATAATGAAAAATTTTAAACAAAGTTCAACAAAATTAAAATCTCAATTTAGACAATTAAATTTAAATAATAATTTATTTATAACTGAATTAAGTTCAAATTTAATGATTTTTGTTGTTTTACCATTTGGTATTAATAATAACTCAGGTTTAATTCAAGAAAATATTAAACAAGCAAGAAAATATTTCCAATAGATAATTATGATAACAATTTCTTGTATAACTGGGTTAAAGAGACTGTGTTTTGTAATGATAAACAATTAATATTATATATTTATGATTGGACGAGTGTAGATGTAATAAATTGTAGTGCTACAAATCTGATCAAAAATAATTCATATATTTCATACAAAATGTGAAAAAGATCAAGAATCCTTATGGATTCAATCTTTTATCAAGACAATAATGTTATGAATATGTTAGTTTCAAGCTTTTGTAGTATAGATAGATATCAAATATCAATCATCAATACATTAGCTTGTTTTATGGAAATTACCAGATTGGTGTTGTGGATGTTACCAAAGCGTTTCTAAATGCTGAGCTAAATGAAGAATATATATGGTTACTCCAAAGAGCCCTATATGGCCTGAAACAGTCTCCAAAAGAATGGAATAAAACAATACATGTTGGTTTCATTCATTTTAATATTGTTTGAATAAGTTTGAAAGTGGCAAATTGAATTTTTTTATATTCATTCGCGAATTGTGTATTACATAAGCGTGTAAATGATTTCCGGCCAAATTTGACGTTTTCACATAATTGAATTTCTTATTTAAAGAACTATATTATGGTGATTTATAATCATGATTCGTTAGCTGTTTTGCTAGGTAGACGTCTTTGAATTCAATTCCTAAGCAATTAGAAGAATGTGCTATATACTTTAACCTGGTGGTTTTCATATTCTCAAAATTGAGATATTTAACCAAACATGTAACCAGTGATATTTCAATGAGTTGCAATGCATATTTATAAGGTTGAATTAATGGCATTTTAGATGGTGGTAACTCAAAAGAATTTACTGTGTTCAATATAAGTATGATACATCAAGACTTGTTTTTGTTGATAAAAGATTGAACTTTATGGTTCTTGGTCTCTTTCATACTTGTCTTTTGATGTATTTGTGTCTTTTTCAATGTTATTAATTGTCATTTGTAGTCAATTGATATCGATATTGGAGGTACTATACTTTATGTTAATTTATCGTATTGAACGATAGCAATCAATACAAAACTTCAGCTACACAACTACATTTTCATATAAATAAATCATAATACATATATATAAGCTAATTTCATAATTCTTCATAATTTCATTAATAAATAAACTCATTAATCAAGTTTAATTCTTATTAGAAAGTCCTCCTCTATCAACTCTATCGAGTCGGAATCGTTGTCTATTAAGGTTTTTTCTTCATTAGATTCATCAGCTTCTTCTGAATCAGATGATTCTTCTTGATCTTCTTTTTCTTCAGCTTCTTTTTCTTTGACCAACTTCATACATTTTTTAGCCATTTCAATCAATTGTTCTTTTGTCAAAATTTTCAATTTACTTTCAGGACAAAGTGTATTATAAATAGCTTGTTTCCAATTTTTAAAATTTGCAATTCTTTCCTCTCTTGTAGATTTTGATTCATAAATTTTTAAATTATTTTTAAAATTTAAACATTCAGTAACTTCATCAAATGATTTCCAAATTTTTTCTTCATCATTTTCAAATCCAAATCCAGCTGCAATTGCGACCCCTAATGCTGTTGCTTCACTAACTGGAGGTTTACAAAGTTTAACCCATGGTCCAAAAATATCAGATTGAATTTGAACAAATTCTTCAGATTTAGAAACACCACCATCAATAGCCAACATTGAAATAGCATTTGAATCATCTTGCTTAACAGAATCTTCATAGTTTTCATCTTCATCATTCATGAAGCTTTTATGTGCACCATTAACTATGGCCATAACTTTTAAAATATCATGAACTTGAAAAGAAATACCTTCTAATGAAGATCTTGCAATATGTCCAGGTTTGGTGTAATTACTTAATCCTTGAAGTGAACCACGAGCATCTGGATCCCAATGAGGTGATAATAATCCTGTAAATCCAGAAACAAAAGATGTACCACCAGAATCTTTAACAGTTGCAGCTAATGCACCAATATCTTTAGCAGTTGGAATTATATTAAAAGTGTTTTTAATCCATTCAATAGAAGAACCTGCTGATGAAATTGCACCTTCTAATGCATAAAATGGAGTTGAATCTTCTTTATTATTAATATTTTTAAGCCAAAATCCAACAGTTGGAAGAACACCTTTCTTTGTAATTAATGGTTTGGAACCAGTGTTTAACATTAAAAATCCACCAGTTCCATAAGTACATTTAGCATCACCTTTTTTCAAACATAATTGACCAACTAATGATGAAGATTGATCACCCAAGACACCATTGATTGGAACATTTGAATCTTGAATAATTTTCAATGCATTTAAATCTTCATTTGAAATTTTAATTGATGAAGATTTTAAAGAATTTAAATTTGGAATTTGGAAATGACCAAATAATTCTGATGATGAACAAATTTCTGGGAATTTTAATTTCTTGGAATCTATACCCCAAAATTCAATTAATTCTTCATCATATTGACATTTATTTAAATCCATAAATAATGTTCTTGAAGCATTTGAAACATCAGTTTTATGTTGATTATTCTTTGTCAAATGATAAACTAACCAAGAATCAACAGTACCAAACATTAAATCACCTGAATCATAAACATCTTGAACTTTTGAATCATTTTCTAATAACCATTTAATTTTTGAAGCAGAAAAATAACTTGATAAATCTAATCCACATTTTGATCTAAGTTTTTTCAATTTTGATTTTGGTGTTTTTTTTTTCAATTCTTCAATCATTTCTGAAGTTCTACCATCACTCCAAACAATACCATTATAAACAGCTTTACCATTTCTTTGATCCCATAAAATAACAGTTTCTCTCATATTTGCAATACCAATAGTTGCAATATAAAGTTCTAATTGACCAATTTTTCTTCTTTGATCATTAATTTTATTCAATTGTTTTTGACATTCAGCAATACAAATAATGACATATAAAATTAAATTATTTGGATTCATTTCAACCCAACTAGGTTTTGGATAAATTAAAGTTGGATCAATTTTAATTTTGGATAAAGTTTCAGATTGATTTGTACTTGATGGATATGCAATTTGATGCATAGCTACAATTTCACCTCTTGAATTGAAAAGAATACATCTTGTTGAAGTTGTACCAATATCAATAGCACCAATTAATCTTGAATCTTTCAAGACTTTTGATACTGATGGTATTAATTCATTATCTTTAACGACGGGCATGATTGTGGGAGTTGCAATTAATATAGTGTGATTATAATTATTTGTATAGTTATGGAATCTCTCTTAATTATAGTAAAATTGTCTTATAATTATCAGATTTCAATGTTAAATAATAATATAATCTGGAGAAGATGGGATAGCTAGAAGATCAAAATTTGAAATGTGGGAACGAGTCTTTATATAATATTTGGATCCATCTCTTTCATGAGAGAATCCATTTTGAGAGCATTTTCATTAGTGAGGGGGTGCATTTTCTGTCTTCATGTGAGTTGATTTCCATACAATGATTTTTAATTGAAGTAAAAGTTCTCAAATTCAAGTCCAAAAAATTGAGATGAACGGATTTTTGACACAATAATAAAGTCAAGAATTTGCGAGGTCTCGAGTCCAAATTGAGTAAGGTTATTTTATCAGATTAGCTTCGTTCTGATCAGTACTTAAGAGTTTAGACCCAGAGACCAGTGTTATAATATACTACAAAATCTACAATATGTGATTGAAAAAGAATGTGTGTATTCAGTAAACCTGTGTGAAAAAGACCAAGAACAATGTGTAGTTCAGTCCTTTATCAAACATTAACAAGTTTTGAAATACGATAATCGTTGAGAAAATTTGTAGTTTTTTTCCAATTCTCTATAATCTTCTCTATTATCTGTGATCTTCTCTTGATCAGTCAGTCTGTGTTGACTGTGGATATATTGTGTACGGAACAGAAATTCCAAGACGTATACAGCTGGATAATAACATTTGGAAAACCAACGTTTTTTTTAACTTTCACAGCTAACCAAGAATGGCCTGAGGTTACTAGCTTTATAATTGTCGAGTGTACAAGTTTGAATTGATGAAAATTTTCTGTTTTAAAACTCGTAAGTTGAAACAATTCGCGACTATTTTATAAATTGTCAGGGCCACAAATGCCAATAAAGATTATCAATGGTTTTTGTTTTTGTGCCAGGTACAATTGAGCTACGAATTTTGAGAATATTGGAATAATTGGATTATTGGGAGCACTTGAAGGTGGTGAGTATGTTGAATTCTATTACATTAAATGCTATGTACACCACATGATTCTTTTTCAAACAACCCATGTCATCTTTAAAATCATATTAATTACAACCTTGGTGGAGCCTGCCTTGGAAAAGAAGAATACTAACTAGAAATACACCTATTAAAATTCAACTATATAAACCAACAAAGACTTCCGTTTTTTCAGTGGAGAGAATGTAGATCTTAACTGGGGCTCTCCATAGTCAATCAAATAGTCAATCAAGTATCTACAACAACAAAAAAAACACGATGAAATTCTTCACTGTGGGTTTATTAGCTTCAATCGCTTTAGCATCTCCAATAATTGATCCATCATTTGTTAATGAACAAGCTAATAATGAAATCACAACTCCAAAAATCTTAAATTGTAACTCTACACAAACTGTTCAATTGAAAAAATATTATAAAGATCTTATTGAATTTTCTACAATTGCTAAACAAAATTTACTTAAAAATGGTGGTGATGATCAGGTTTTTAAAAATTGGTTTGGTAAGGGAAATCCTTTAACCGTTTTAGGAATCATTGATGAAGTCTTAGAAGGTAACAAAGATGGTGTCTTGTACCGTTGTGATGATATTGATGGTGATTGTGCAGCTCATCCAACTGAATGGCCGGGATATCATAGATCAAGTGATGATCATTCAGGTGAAACTGTGATTTGTGATTTATTCTTTAATTCAAAACATCCAATTGAAAAATTTTGTTCTGAAGGTGATATCTTGACAATAAAGCCTAAAACTTATGCAGGTATTGATCTATTTCATAGATTTTTACATTTATCAAAAATTAATAAAGGGTATTATGGTGAATATGCTGAAGAATTTAAAGATTTGTTGGACTATGCTGAAAATAATATAACTTTTGCTGTTTTGAATACTGATAATATTTTGTACTACATTGCAGAATCTTATTCGTTAAACTTGACTGGTTCAGATAGTTGTTTAGGTAATTTATCAAATTCAACTTTAACAAACTAAGAAAAAGATGGAGTTTTATCACTATCATACAACGCTATAAGCTAATAAAACTATATAACTATATAACTATACATAATACAACACTAATATAAACATTATTCTATATAATTGAACGTCAAGAAATCATTCGTTATTAATTTTCTTTGTAATTATCTGTCTATACTTTATATTAATTACATAAAACAATAGGAGTGTCCCGAACCGCTTTTCTTTGTTTACTTTTCAGGCGTATAAACTTTTGAGTTCTTTTCCATCGATTAAAATGAGGTGGAAAAGATAGGAACAATTATCAAAAACATCTCATGTTAAATGCTTACTCTCTTTTACAATGTTTTCTTTCATCATTATCTGTTCGCTAGAACTACAAAAGACGATGTTTCAGACTTTATTCTTTTTGTTCATTTCTTGATGTTCTTCCCATTATCCATAAGTCAAGTTTTATCTAATTATTATTCAAAGTCATGAGCTCATATACAGATTCCAAAGGTCATTCTGACCAAGATAATTTAATTTCTAGTCAAATGACAAACTTTGATAATAGCAGAAGAATTCATATCTATAATAACATTCATTTATTTAAACTTTTAGATTCATCTCAAAGATTATTTGAGCCTAAAACTAGCAAAGATTATTCTTTACATTATGAATCAAGAGTCACTTATTTCTATCCAAATAATAGAGTCAGTGATAGGGAAGAATATACAATGTGTGCATTTTGTCATCCATTAAAATCAAATAAGGATGAAAAAATCTGTGATCCAAAATTTTTCCGATCTGGTTCAGATAAATTTGTTACTCATATGGCTAAACATCATGGTATACTCTATAATCAAAATAGAATTATCAACCCATTTGTTGGTTGGTCAAGAATTCTTTCATTAAATCAACAATCTTTAGAATTAATGGCAATTTGTCCTTATGGTCGTCATAGATATGGTGATACAAAACCTTGTTTATCAGTTTTTAAATTTGAAGATTATGGATCCAAAATTCATTATGAATATTTTAAACATGTTTATCATGTTCATATTTTAAAAAAAGGTAATACTGTTTTCCAAAGGGAATCAAATTATAATCAATTTCTTGAATTTAATAATGATCCATTAAATTATCAAAATCAATTTATAATGTATGATGAAAAAAATTGTTTTAAGGCTAATGAATTCTTGAAATCACAACTTGGTTTTGAATTTACAGATCCTTTAGAAATTGATTATATATTAAATCATCAACATCATGAAGAGTTGAATTGTTTTAATCATACTCATGAAGAACCATTATCTAAGGAAGTTGAAGATGCTGATGATGAATGTTCAGATGATGAGTTACCAAGAAGTACATTTCCAGAAAATGAATTACCAGAAAATGAATCCAGTGAAGAAACTTATTCTGATGAATATGAAAGTTCTATTGCGACAACTTCTTTGTTGAGTGGAAGTACTGAACATGATGATCATAATGGTGATGATTTCAATGATGATTTCAATGATGATGCCTCTACTAATTACTCAAATGATTCTGATGGTTCAAATGGTCTAAGTAGCTCAAATGGTTCACAAAATGAAAATGTTGCAAATAATTATGTTGATAATCCTCCTACAAATGTGGAATCATATTTGGATTATCTTTGTACAAATCAATCATATTCATCGTCTTCAGAAGAAGAACAATATGAACAACAAACCACTCAATCAGATAATTATAATGATGAGAATACCAATTACTTTAATGATTCATTAGATTTTTCAAAGCAAGATATAAGAAGTTCTAGTACATCATCTTTATTAACTAAAGCTTTAGCTAACCATCAACGTGATCAATCAACAAGTGAAATTGAAGTTGTATCTAGTCCTGTGGTTAATGATGTAACTTTGAATACTAGGTCACAGTCAACCCCAGAAGTTGAAACACACCAAAGATATTATGTCTTTCATCACTTTGATCCATATGATTTATGCACAATTAATGGTAGTACTGATGGTGATGACGATGATTCTGAAGAGCAAAATAATGAAAACGAAGGACAAGATGAGAATTTGCAGCAGGTAAATGATAAAAGATCTTATCCTAACACTAATCATGATTCAAGTGATAGTAGTTTAGATGATGATTCAAATAATGAAAATTCATCAATGTCTTCATCTTTATATAGAGATCTTATGAGGTTTGCACGTCCTTCTCCAAATAATATCAGTCCTCTTACTATTAATGACAGACAATATGGCTTATCAGCTGCTTCATATCCCAGTGATGGTACTATTGTATCAGGTCTTTATTCTGATGAAGAGACTGATAAATTTGATGAAGAATCAACACATGAACCATATGTTTATGATGATCATTATTCACCAGTAGTGATGGAATGGGTCAACAATATTGATCTCTGAGATTCAAGTTATTGCATTTCATAAAATTAATAGATATATGTTTATAATCTAATTAATAAAATAAAATTAAATATTTGATTATGTAGTATATACCACACTATTTTTTATTATTTCCTAATCCGGAAGTCTAGAAATCCTAAATTGAGATTTGAGGTATAATAATTTGAAACAAAAATACAACATTTTAGAAATGAACTAGAGACAGTTTTGAGTGAAAAAGCTGGATTGAGCAAAGACAATGGCTGGTGATTAAGAATGGGCTATATAATAAAGCTTTTCAACTAGTAAAAGGACAATTGTATGAGGTTTAACCAAGACTTGTTTCGAAAAATATGCTAGGCTAGATTATTATTAGATTGAATTATGGGTTATGAGGCTATTGTTTGAAAGGTTCTTTTCTTCAAAGTTGTTTGATATATAATGATGTTTATATCCAAAGATTGGATATCTATGGTTATTTTGTGAATAGTAACCCATCTTACAACTCAAATTAATCATGTCATCATCATCATCAGAAGAAGCACAATATAATTTTTATCTTTATAATCCAAGTTTAGCAGCTTCAACTATATTTACTGTTATTTATTCAATTTTAATTATATGGCAATTATATCAAGTTGGTTCAGCTATTGCTTTGATAGTCTCATCCAAACGTTCAAATGCAGATTTAGAAAGACAAAATCCTTTCAAAGATCCATTTAGTAAACACCATGAACCAATTTATACACCTTCATCAAAATATATCTTAATTATGATTCCATTTATCTTAGGTGTTGCTTGTGAATTGGTGGGTTATGTTGGAAGAATAATGTCCCATAATAATATATCTGATACGACACCATATGTTATGCAAACTTTATTAATTCTTATTGGACCACCTTTATTATCTGCTACAATTTATATGGTTTTTGGTAGAATGGTTACCAAGATCTTGGGTAATGAAGAATATTTGTTGATTAGATCTAAATTTATAACCAAAATTTGTGTTGTTGGTGATATTTTATCTTTAGCTTTACAAGGTATTGGTGGTGGTATTCTAACTGGTGCTCAAGATAATAAAGATAGATTTAATCTGGGTAAAAATGTTATTTTATTTGGATTAGCTGTTCAAATCTTATTTTTTGGATTTTTTATGATTATTGAATTGACTTATTTCATTAGATTATTAAATAATTTAGAATCAAGTCCTTATAATATGAATATTGTTAATGATCAAATTCAAAAATTCCCTTCAAAGTTCAATAATTGGAAATTAGTTTTAA